CCAGGGCGGCTCAGGCGGCACATGAACAGGCCGGAGGTGAAACAACACACGAGACAACTTGCAAAATGGCGCAGAAGTAACATTAATACCGAAAGCAAGCTTTAGCAGCTCCGCCAGAGCCGCACGACATAAGGCGACAGTACTCGGCATAAGATGGTGGTCGTGAAACAACCCCGAGAGAAAGGACAAGACAACCTTAACCGAGAGCGAAGAATACCTACGAAACGAGAGAAAGAAATGAAAGGACCACCATGAAATTTCACACTGCCGTCGAGACGAAGCCTGCAGGTGGGACACCATCCAGGACGCCACCTTCATCACCATACAGATGGTGATAAACTCGAGTCAAAAAGACCAAACGCGAAGACTCGAGGAGAAGATCGAATCAGCCACATGACAAACTAGACTGATCTGCTGAAAGAGGCGGGGCCGCAGGAAAATTTCCAGGTTCGGACACTGAGAAAGCAGCACCTGAAACCAAGGCTGAGCCAGCCACCATGGGGCCAAGAGGACCCACCCTAAAAAGTCTCTAAGCAAGCCAGGACCTGGAGCAACAGCTGAACTGGGGGAAAGAGTTAGAGAAACCCCCACCTCGACCAGTCCTGCCGAAAGGCATCGACCCCGACAGCGTCAGTCAGCGAAGGGTGCCACATAAATCGGAAGACGCCTCGACCAGGCCAACGCAAAGAGGTCCACATCCAGGTGCCTCGAACGTCTGGTAGATCCAACTGAAGGAGTCGGCGTCGACTGTCCATTCCGTTGTTAGGGGAATGAACCGAGACAGGCTGTCCGCCCGGCACAAACCCTCGAGCAACCGCCAGATGACCCAGGAGCTCCCAGAAACAGGCAAAGGAGAGACTCTGGAGGGGGAGACAAGGAAGCGGTCTGTGAGTTCAAAACAAGACCCAGCCAAGTCTGAACCTGGACTTGGACCAAATGGGACTTCCTCCAGTTCACCAAGAACCCGAACCCGGCGAGCTGGGAAAGAACCAAATTCCTGGCGAGCAGACAAGCGAACCGGCTGGGAGCCCAGACCAGCCAATCGTCGAGGTAGGCCAACACACAAATACCTAAAAGACGCAGACGGGCCACCACGACCCAGGTAAGGTGTGTGAAAACGCAAGTGCCAGGTTCAACCCGAATGGGAGACAATGAAAGTAGTAACCCTAATGCCTCACAACAAAACTGAGCCAGTCCCCAGATGAATCGGGACGTGCCAATACGCGTCCCGGAGGTCCAGGGGACACCATCCAAGTACCCAGCTCCAACAGAAGCCGGACCTGAGACAGAGTAGTCACCCGAAAGGAGGGGACAATCAACCCAGGGGTTCAGACACGACAAGTCCAGAATGAACTGCAGGTCCGCACAGTCCCGTTTCAGGGAACAGGTTTCCTGAAGGTTTTCAGGTTTTCAGGTTTCCCTGGGAATAGACGGGTGCACCCACTCCGAGATGACCCGACAGAGTGCAGGAGAAGAGGCCTGCCCCATGAGCCCCGAACCCCCCCGAAGCAGGTGGAGCCACCCAGTGCCACCTCAGGCCGTCGAAAACAACAAGAAGCACCCACAAATCGTGGGGACCAGGCGTGAGCGAACAGAGTAAGCTTTCCTCCCCCATTGCCCCGTCAATGGGACGAACCATGAAAGGGCTGATGCCCCTTATGAGAACCCAAGCTTCGCACAGAGTGAACACCGCGCTGACCGGATGAAGACGGTTCTGAAGGCGACGCCCAACCGAAACTGGCACCAGTGACCTCCCATGACGAGCAGAACCCCAAGACCTGGTACGACCCCTCTGGGAAGGCCTTCCCCTGGGACCCCCAGAGAATCAACAAATCGGACATTCGACGACAGCAAGCAGAGGCTGCCTGCATATAGTCCGCCACCATAGAATCAGAGAACAGCAGGGGACAAAAAGGTGAAGACATCCTAAGAGCCAGGGGCCAAGCAGATTCCAGAGAAGAAGCAAACAAGCACCGCCTACCGACACGTGAGCCGGGAGGCATAAAACAGCGACACCGCATCCCGCAGTATCGCCGCAAACAGCTTCAACAAAGCAGCCGAATAACAAGGTGCCCAACCTAGGAACGGCCCCAAGCGCCTCCACATCCTCCTCAAGCCAGTCTTAAGACAGCTCCAGGAGGGAAAAGAAATGCAAAGCCGAATCCAGCAGGCCACGAGCGCGCAAGTCTTCAGCAACCAGCACAGCTGAAAGGGAGGGAACATACATGTGAAGCTGCACAACACCCACATCCCGAGGAAGGGCAGGGGCGAACAAGCTCTCACTGAGGAGCTCAAACTCGCCTCCCAGGAAAACCTGGACCACCATCAATGCCTCGTGCCACTCAAGCATGTGGGAACGACAGAAGGCATGCCAAGCCTCCAAAGCAAAAACAGGACAGTCCGCCAACCAGGACGACTCCGGAACTTCATACCAAATCCATTAGTGAAATGAAGACCCAAACCTGAACGTAGATGGATCCATAATACAGTAGAGGCGTAATCCGGGTCATGCAGCTGCAAAGGCGTCTTGCACCACAGGAGGCGAGATGCGGGAAGCCGAAAACCTCCGGAAAGACGGAGGGACAAAGGGACACGGAACTGAACCTGGGGAGGGGCAGACACCAAATCCAATTTGTACAAAGAGGGGGGGGGGGAAGAAAACCCCACTCCTTGTAACAGTAAGCCCTGCTTAGAGGGTAGAATAACCCAGGCGGGGTCCAACGGGGCCCAAGGTCCCCAAGTCAGCCCTGGGATCCACCACATCAGGACCCAGAGCCGAGTCATCCCCCAAAGTCCCGGCCTCAAAAGAACAGGCCGGCGCAGCAGTAGAAGCCGGAAGAAGAGGGGTCCACTGGTCAGACGCAGACGCTTCGGTACGGAAAACTGACTCGAGTGCCTCCATCGCCAACCCAAAAGGGGCATCCCCCAAGACCCCAGAGGTCTGGGGCTCCCTCTTTCCTCACCTGCGGAAGGGGAAGCTGCGCAGACGGCGGCACGGCAATGTGATGGCATCATGCTCATTTACTCATTTTTGTTTGGTGAGTTCTGTCCACTAGTTCGGCTCTCAGTAACAATTTTTCACTAGAATAGAGGTTTGTTTTGGGATCCTTACCTTTCTGGGTGCCTGACCCGGTCGATGGCAGACAAAGAATGCTTCCAACCACATGGGGGTTTCTATAGGCCATTGCTCTTTGTGCCTCTCTGAGGGGGCCAGGTTCTGACTCATGGTCCCCGGTAGGCCTAAAGAACTCCATTCACACTGACTGATGCCAAAGTCTAATATTAGCAATATCAGCCTCGATAGCTCCGGGGAGCCGACAGGGCTCCCCCCAGAAAAACTTTTGAACAGTTAACAATAACAGGTTCCATACATAATAGCACTATTGGCACAAAATATTTTTGTGATTACAAAGACACCATAAAAACTAAATTTTTACTAATCATAATTCTGAACAGTACCGTATCTTGTATGTAACAGTATCTTGTATGTCTGTGAAGGGTACCTAAATGTCTGTGCACTCTGTATATTACTACTGTAGTGGGATTTGTAATATGATTAACTTTTAGCATAAAGTTCCTGAGCACCCACAAAATATGAATGGATGAGAAGTAACAGAGATTGCACACACATGTGCAATACATACTGCACATAAATAATTTAATAATTTTAATTTATTTAATAATTTAATTATATACATTATGTATTGTGCATGTGTGCACAATATCTATATCTATCTATATCTATCTATATCTATCTACCTATCTATATCTATCTATCTATATCTATCTCTATCTATATCTATCTATATCTATCTATATCTATCTATATCTATATCTATCTATAACTATATCTATATCTATCTATATCTATAGCTATATCTATCTATATCTATCTATATCTATATCTATTTATCTATATCTATCTATATCTATCTCTATATCTATTTATCTCTATATCTATCTCTATCTATATCTATACCTATCTATATCTATACCTATCTATATCTATACCTATCTATATCTATACCTATCTATATCTATACCTATCTATATCTATATCTATCCATATCTATATCTATATCTATCTATATCTATCTATCTATATCTATATATCTATATCTATCTATATCTATATCTATCTCTCTCTCTCTCTCTCTCTCTCTCTCTCTCTCTCTCTCTCTCTCTCTCTCTCTCTCTCTCTCTCTCTCATTCATTCATATTTTTTCTTAACAATAAGTGTGTGCAGGTGTGAATATCTGTGTAAGAATAAATGTGCATGAATGAATGTACAATGGTTTGTGTTTTGATGTATGTGTACTCAACTATCTGTATCTGTGGGGATCAAGCTCCAACCCTTGGGCTCAGTCTCTTAACCATTATTCAGTTGATACAAGGTGTCTCCCCTAAACTCATGGGTTTTGTTATAATGTACAGTAATGTACATTAACATTAGTAATACATTACATTAACATTAGTAATACATTACATTAACATTAGTAATAGTACATTAACAAGTTAGGTGAGAAGGTGGTGGAGGCCAAAACCGTCAGTAGCTTCAAAACGTTATATGACAGAGTGCTGGGTAGACGGGACACCACGAGCATAGCTCTCATCCTGTAACTACACTTAGTAGCTCCTGGGCCTAGGGGAAGGCCCCGGCATAGAAGACAAGATGAAGTGGCTGCTGTAGAAGCAGACACTGATACAGGTGAAGAAATTATTAATCGTAGTCAGTCACGCAGAACTCGTGGCCAACGTACCAAAGATAGTAAAAGTAATGATATGGTATCTTCCCACCCTCATGGACTTGTTATACACAAGAAAATTTACATTGCCTTGACTACTGTGTGCTTGAGGGAACAGCGTAATGATATAGATAGATAGTGTAGATATAACTATAGATATAGATAGATATAACTACACCCAAGTGTAGTTATACAGGACGAGAGCTATGCTTGTGGTGTCCTGTCTTCCCAGTACAGTACTCAGTCAAATAATGCTTTGAAACTACTGACTGTTTTGGCCTCCATCACCACCACCTCACTTAACTTGTTCCAAATGTCTACCACTCTGCAAAAGAAAACTTTCTACTATTTTTTTGGCACATTTGTTTCCTTAGCTCGAGTCTGTGACCTCTTGTTCTTGAAGTTGCTGGTTTCCGGAATTCATCTTTGTCATGCCTATTTATCGCTACAGTTGTTGAGTTATGTTTGTGGTGTTTTGTGTTTGCAAAATTATGCACACTGACATTAAAGTAAAACAAGAAAACATATAATAATGCCTGTATTTAATGAATGCAGCAATGGTGTCATTTTTTTATTTGATGTCATTTACTGCAAATAATTTTAAATGATAATTATTTGATTACAGTAGTACCTGTTGACTTTGCCTCAAGGAAATACAACTTAACCTGTAAAGCATTTTTATTTCTTAATGGATACCTTACTTTATAAAATACTTCTGTGTTTTATTTAACTGTATACACAGTTTGTATGTTTCAAAGTTAAATGTTAATATAAAAAGTATATGCTAACAATCATATACTGAAAGATCAAATCATTTATTCATCAAATTCAGAAAATTGTACACCTTTGGTTCTTGCTGCTGTTTTAGTACTGCTTTTTCTTGCTTCTCTCCTGTTGAAACTCTGAAAAATATTTTATAAATTTAAATTACTTTTTTTTGTAGAACTGGTTTATCCTTCTTTCCCACTGGCAGTCAAATTTGGATATACTGTACAACAGTACTAAAAGTTCTATGATCAACCTGTCATCTTACAAATTACTTCGCTTTTTGCTCAAATGTGCACTAACTCTAAAAATCGACAAAATTCAAAATGAAGTCGGTTCACGAAAGTGACATACTTTCTGTTTCTTTCTGGACATACTTTCTGTGACATACTTTCTGTTTTCTGTTTTGGGTCCTCTGGCTTAGGCTGTTAGGTTAGGAGAAGAAACTTTCAATTAACGGTTTTCATGACATTTTGAAACCTTAGGAGAACTTCCTACCTTCCTAACCTACCAGAGGACCCTTAACTTGCTGTTTTGGAAAAAAAAAAAAAAAAAAATTTAATTGGAAAACAAATTTCCAATTTGAATTACATCGATATTTGGCCGTAGCGCATATGAGCGAAAAGCAACGTAATTTGTAAGAGAACGTGTTACCATGATATTCTGTAACTGTACAATTAAAACTGAAATGAATTGACTTGTTCTAAAGCTATATCAAATAATAGGGTGGCATTGCCAAGGCCTGACAACTTGAGTCAGACTCAAGAAAAGTATTTGCACATAAAACTGGCACACTAGGATCCTTGCCTAACCAAAAAGTTCAATAACCATCTTTCAGGGCACCGATCTGCAGGAAGAGGAGTGAAGTAGCTTCAGCTGAAACAAAGAGGTAACGAATGGAATGACAAACATGAACCTTTCAAAACATAGTGCACATCCTATTCAGAGGTCAGGAGAGCAGAAAAGAGAAGCCTGGGCCCTGAGCCAGAGACCAGGCAGAGGCCAACGAGGAAACCAAGCACCACGAACTAAAGTGCGAGACGCGAAGCGAAAAGCCGTGACCCCACAACCCTAAGGAGCAGCGCAACCAGCTCCAGCAGGGAAGAACGAAGTACGCGCCACCAAGGTGTCTCTGGGAGGAGACACTACTCCTCCCAGGAGGAGGAGAACTACTCGAGGAGAACTACTCAGGAGGAGAACTACTCAGGAGGAGAACTACTCAGGAGGAGAACAACTCAGGAGGAGAACTACTCAGGACGTGTACCGCATGAAAACAAAAATGCACATTCCGGAAAAAGAAAAATGAAAAGCCGTAGCCAGGACCGGAATCCAAGCTACCCCTGTCCCACGAAAAGGATATACGAACAGTTGACCGAAAGTCCACAGCCTCCCGCAGATATTGCAACACAAAAGCCTGCAGGGAAAACAAGAAAAAAGTGAACTCAGTACCAAAACTGAACACTGGGGTAGTCCAAAATCAGGGAACAGAACATGGACAGAGGTCCACCTCAGCACCTAACAACAGTATAGCCAAGAAGCACCAACCAAGATACACAGCCGTGTGTAGCATAGAGGGGGGAAAACAGAAATAGGCAAGGAAAAGACTGGAAACAGATTAAGTAGCAGCCGGTAACACAATTACCGGGCCGCGGGGACACTAAAGCCCCGAAATCATCTCAAGATAACCTCAAGATAACAATGTACACGACCAACCACAACGTGTGGCATGGGTGGTCACACATACACAGACGGACACCATTGATATCAGGGTGCACCCAGGCACCGAAGATAGGCAAGGAAGGAGTGTCCAGAGACCAAGTCAAGGAAGGAAGACACCAACACAGACCGGGGAAACGAAGGAGTGTCCAAAGATCAAGAAACGACCCAGGCGCCGAAAAATGAAACAAAAAGACCCGAAATGCGGGGCAGTGCCCCCCCCCCCAGTAGAACAAGAACAAGATACACGGACAAATTAGTCACTGTAAGACACTTGCAAAAAGTCCAAGCTAAACACACAACACCTATCACCCCCGTTAGGAGCCAATGACGCTACCCGGTCAAGTGGGGAAGTGACAGGGTAGACAAGGATGGATCATTTAACACAGGTGGTACACGCACAAGGGGACACAGGTGAAAGCTGAGTACCCAAATGAGCCACAGACACATAGAAAGAACTGTTTAGTGTCAGTAGTCAGGAAGCAGAATGCACTAGGAAGTGATGTGGTGGAGGCAAACTTCATACACAGTTGCAAATGTAGAGAAAATAGAACCCAGTAGGCTCAGGAAGCTGTACACCTGATGATTGACAGTTGAGGGGCGGGACCAAAGAGCCAGAGCTCAATCCCCGCAAGCACAACTAGGCGAGTACAACGAGGTGACTACCCCACCAAACAGCGAGAACCAGCACATGGCCGACAGATTCACCAGACAGTACAATCTCACCTGCAAAATAGACACACCACCGTGTCACGACACAGCTAAGCCATGCAATATAACAGGAGCATCCCTAGTGGAGAAAGTCCAGAGGTGCGTGCCCAGTAGGAGAAGACGAGGTGCATGCAGTACAGAGGCAAAGGAGGCGCCACTCAGAGCCGCCCCATAATCGCTGCAGAATACCAAGCATCCAGGGGGTTATGACTAGAAAGAAGAGGAGCAAAAACGGCGTAGAATCTGCGAGAAAGAACAAGGAACACCAACACGTGTGTACACTGCCCAGAAACAAAACGATCACCCCAGCCCCAGTGCCCGAGGTATGAACCGTACCACCCGTCTTCCGGGAACCAAACCCAGAGAGGGGGTAGACCAACGCGAACGCAGAGGGGGAAGGGAAAACCCCACTCTGAGGAACTGCAAACCCCACTCCGAGGGTACAAAACCCCAAGCGGGGCAAAATGGGGCCTAGGCCCCCCAGGCAACCCCTCCCCAACCCCGAGAACCCCTACAGCAGGACCCCGAGGCCAAGTCGTTCCCCCAAAGCCCCAGCCCCGCAAGTAAAAGCCGGGGCAGCCATACAAAACACTAAGGAAGGGAGCCCACTGATCAGACCCATATGGCACGGCTGGAGGAACAGGCTCGAATGCCTGCGTCGCCACCCCGGAAGAGGAAAACCCGAGACCTCCCAAGTCTCAACCCAACCAGACCCTGCCCCAACCCCAAAACCCGCCTATGGTTCGGAGCCAGAAGCAAGGGGAAGGAAGTATGCACAACAGAAAAGGAAGAACAAGAAGCGGACAGAACCAGAGCCGAAGCGACCCCCCACCTTCAAGTCCGGACCCCTGAACCAAAATGGGGCAGTCTCGGAGCATCTGGGGCTGCAATCAACCTAGAGCGGTGTGGCAACCTAAACCTAGCATGCAACACCGCAGCTGCCTGCACCCACACATCATTATCAGAGGCATGGGTGAATAGGAGCACTTACAGACAACACACGTCGCACGACTCAGTGTCAAAACAATCATCAACCCAACAGGTAGCATGGCAGAGGCAAAACAGGCGAGTGTCACCCTGAGATAAAGGGACAGAGCAACCTTTAAACTCGCAAGATGCGAGGAAGGGACTTGGGGTCACATCCATCGGACCACGTAGCCCCAGTGGAATTTCCCAGGGCCCTTAGCCATGGTTACACGCTAAGGGAAGCCCAGGCAGGGTACTGTGAACCGGCGCCCAAGTCTATGAAACAAACTGCTAAAGCTGAACACCCGGGATGTGTCCACTCAAGGGGGCCAAGCGGAGAGGCCCACCAAACACAGAAATATAGATATATAAATATATATACCCCAAGAACAGTGATGGGGGTACAAAGGCAGACCCCCAACCAGGCAGCAAACAAAAACAAAAGAAAATTTTCCCTGTAAGCGGACAACGTACCCAGGCGTAACAGAGCTGGCAGCTGTCATAGGTGAAAACTATCTGTGCAGTACCCCGCACCCCTGCCAGTGATGAAAACTACCCCTACCCAGAGACAAACACGGGTAAGAAAAACCCCAGCTGACACCAAGGGTGGCCAAGTACCGAGCAGTAAACAGCACAGCGGAGGTAGATCCCGAGGCGACTTGTGGAAGGAGGCCCCAAGCCCCAAGGGCAGTACTTACAGGGTACCTAGGGAAGGGAACTCAAGGCGCATGCAGCCCGAGTACCATGGAATAAGTCTCCTGGCTCACGCACCACCTGTAGAAACTAGCCCACACCACAAGGCACAGAACTGAAACTAAGACCGAAGCCAGAGGCACGACCGCACCAGACTTCCATCAGCATAAGAACTGAAGGTTGAGTTGCTGGCGGGTGGGTCTGGGTCTCCCCCCTTCCCCCTCCCGGGAAGGGAGGGTATCGCAGACAGCGGCGAGGCGACATGATGATGTCATGCAAGTTTGCTAATTTTCGTTTGGGGAGTTGTGTCCACTTGTTCGGCCTTCGGTCGCAATAGTTTTACCAGAATAAGGGTTTGTTTTGGGGCGCCTACCTTTCTGGGTGCCTGTCCCAGTCGATGGCAGACATAGTAATGCTCCTAACCACAGGGGGGTCTCTATAGACCATTGCTACTCGTGTCTCTCTAGAGGGGGCCAGGTTCTGGCTCGTGGTCCCCAGTAGGCAAGAACTCCATGCATTGACTGATGCCAGAAAGATATATACATCCCATTCAGCCTAGATAGCTCCGGGGAGCCGATATAGCTCCCCCCAGAAAATATATGGAGATTATCATGAAAAAACACTAGTAATCAAAAGTTAAATTTACAAACCTTATTCAAATTGAAGTCTTCCAAATCAGAATCATCATCTAAAATACCTGAAGACCAAAAATTTGATATGTTTGGGCTAAGTAGCGGTCTCTTTCTTGTTTTACATAATCCTGAAAATAATTGAGACAATTCAGCTGTTTGGAAAACATTACAGTCTCTTCATAGAGCTATGATAGACATTTTAACCTCCAATAAGGTCAAATAGTTACATGGCTTAGAAAAAAAAATACATTCGAGGAGATCACAATAATGTCACATATTTCTTAGGCACACAAGATGGGGATCAAACCAGAGTCCTGGGTGACCAGAGATGCACGCTTTAACCCTAACGGATCCAGGTTATACAATCTATTAACATATCGTGGTCCATGGGTTAAAGTGTGCATCCGAGGTTTACTCAGGACCTGGTTCAAACTCCATCTTTCTCCAAAGATTTTCTTATGGGTTAGAAGTTTAGGAAACCCAATTAAACATACTGTATTGTAATTTAATCAAAAAGTCTGGTCAATATTTTAGTATTCGGATATTGTTTTCCTTCAACTTGATAACCAACTAGCTACAAATTGTCAAAATGCCTCATTGTTTATTTCAAAATGCTACTATATTTACCTTGAGGCTACTACTATTTGAGGGGCCTCGTAGCCTGGTGGATAGCGCGCAGGACTCGTAATTCTGTGGCGCGGGTTCGATTCCCGCACGAGGCAGAAACAAATGGGCAAAGTTTCTTTCACCCAGGGAGCCGGTCGGCCGAGCGGACAGCACGCTGGACTTGTGATCCTGTTGTCCTGGGTTCGATCCCAGGCGCCGGCGAGAAACAATGGGCAGAGTTTCTTTCACCCTATGCCCCTGTTACCTAGCAGTAAAATAGGTACCTGGGTGTTAGTCAGCTGTCACGGGCTGCTTCCTGGGGGTGGAGGCCTGGTCGAGGACCGGGCCGCGGGGACACTAAAAGCCTCGAAATCATCTCAAGATAACCTCAAGATAACCCTGAATGCCCCTGTTACCTAGCAGTAAATAGGTACCTGGGAGTTAGTCAGCTGTCACGGGCTGCTTCCTGGGGGTGGAGGCCTGGTCGAGGACCGGGCCACAGGGAACACTAAAGCCCCGAAATCATCTCAAGATAACCTCAAGATAACCTTTCCATGATCTTACAACAATAATTACAGAACTGTCCACTGGATTCATTTTTATGGTACAAAAGTGCTGAAAGTGTTGAAACTAACCATATGTTACTATGCAGGAGGTTTAATGAAGTTTAGACACCCAAGGGTACTAATGGAGAGTTAAACATAGAATAATGAGAAGGTCTAAACTGGTATAAGGGTCCGGTTAGTACAGTCGGGTTCATTCTCGACTCTTAATAGAGAATTTCAGGTTCGAATCAAAGGCAGGACAGAAGATGTTAGGCACGTTTCCTATCATCTAATGCCCCTGTCCACCTAGCAGTAAATGGGTACCCAAGAGTTAGTCAGCTTAACATGTACTGTTATAAGTCAGCTTAACATGGACCTTGATATAAGCCTAACATGTACTTATATATATAAACTGGCTGCCTGTCCCAAGACACAATGAATTATTATTAAATATGTCCGGAACGAAACATAGCGTAAATATTGCCCAAACTCTATGCGTATTAATGGCTTTAGGTATTTGCCCGAAACGCTTTGCGTAGTAGTGGCTTTAGGAATTGTATGTACTAGCTCTATCTATAAATCCAACATTATGTTTGTAAATCAACTATGTATGTACTTTTCCTGAATAAATATTTATTTATTTATTTATTTATTTATTTATTTATTTATTATTAACTGACTAACTATTATTAACTGTTGTCATTACCAGCTGTTAGCCTCTACCTGCAATGTGCTACTACATGGTTTACCTGCAACTTGGTCTCTGAGATTAGCTCAGTTGTAGCAAGAGTAGCTCAAAGCATCATAAAAATTTATATGCTACTTGAATGTGGGAGTATTGTCTTAATGAAAACTTCTGGCTTCCCAGATAAAATATAAAAATCCCACCAATATTGTTTTTAAACATTCTCCTTGGATAGTGCAGCCATTTTAAGCTTTTAATAGCAATTGTTTACAACTAATCAATATACTGATTTGCATATCTAATTTAACTATCATAATGTGGAAAATTCCATATCTGCAGAGATAAAATATATCCTTTCTATGGTAGATTAATTTAATGTTAAGTATTTGGAGTATGAAGTTAGTGAGAATTCTATTATAAATATGTTATCATATATCTAAAGAAATAATGTCAAATTAATGTTAAGCTATACAATAAAGTAAACTGCTTTTATTAATTTAGGAAATGGCAAAACATAAGTCACTTTGCATTATGACAGTGACCTCTTTCAAACCAACTGAGATCATTGACAAGTATGGATATGAGCACTCAAATGTATTTTGTTAACATATATGAGAGAGAAGACTGCTAAAAAACCAGCGTTGAATGTAATGAAACGCCATTTTCTGAGTGAGACCCGGAGGCTCCCCGGAGCCTACTAGGCTGATATGCAAATGTCAGATTTTGGCATCAGTCATGTGTATGGAGTTCTGTGGGCCTACTTGGCACCACGAGCCAGAACCTGGCCCCCCTCAGAGAGGCATGGGGAGCAATGGCCTATAGAAACCCCCGTGTGGTTGGAAGCATTCTATGTCTGCCATCGACCGGGTCAGGCACCCAGAAAGGTAAGCATCCCAAAACAAACCCCTATTCTGGTGAAATTTTTGCTACCAAAATCCGAATAAGTGGATAGAACTCCCCTAAAAGAAACGAGCAAACGATCCTGATGTCACATGTCGCCGCACCTCTGTCTGCGCAGCTCCCCCCCTCCCGAAAAGGGGGAGACCCAGACCCCTCACATCGGCTATCCACCCATCAGTTCTGAGGCTGGATGTTAAAACACACAAAAAAAACGCTGACCGAGGGGAGGGAGGGATGTCGGGGAGCCTCCAGGTCTCACCCAGAAAATAGCGTTTCATTACACTCAATGCTGGTTTTCTGGGGAAAGCCCCCTTCGGCTCCCCGGAGCTAACTACCCACAGAGAAAGAACATAGGGACTTACCTGGGAGGCGGTCGTTGCGCACTCCACAACTCGAAGCCGAGACAACCGGCTGCAACTGCCGACCCAAAACGACACAGGCCCGACTAGGCCCAGGGTCGTGGATGAGGTAACGAGCAGCCAGGATCCTATATGACCGCTAAAAGCCCTGTGCCCGAATGTCAGCCCAGGACATGGTGCCAAAGACGGCAGCAAGTGCAGTGAACGAACAAAAGTCATGGGCACGGGGATAGACCACAGGCTGGTTAGCCGTAAGAACTCTGCGGACGACCTGGGAGACCCGCACTCGTGAACAGGGAAGAAAGGGAAACTGGATCAACCCAAAGCGCGTCCTCGGACAGAGGCCGAGGCGCGCAAGTAACGCGAAGAGCCGCCACTTAACAAAACATGATGCACCCCCGGCCCAACCAACCAAGCATCAACAACCCAGGGAAAGGAAACTGCTGCCTCAGGAAAGCAGCAGTCTCAATCTTCCCCAGAAAAGAAGATGGTTGCAGATGAACAAAAGGTCTTTTGGTCTTCCCATTATGAAGACCGAAAGAGTAAAAACCCGAACCGAAGGGGCCACAACAAACTGAGGAGAAGAAAAAAAGAGAGCACTCTGTTCAACGACCAGGACGGCTCAAAGTGAGAGCCGTCCTGAGGGATCTCAAAGAGCAGGCTGGAGGTGAAACAATGCACGAGATAGCTTGTGAAACGGCGCAGAATTAGCATCAAAACCGAAAGCAAGCCGAAGCGGTTCCACCATCACCGCACGATACGAGGCAACAGTATGGGCAAGATGACGGCCCCAAACATCCACAAGAAAAAGACAAGGCCACGCCAACAAACGCAGCTACCGAAGAAGGGACAGAAGGAAAAAGAAGGACCGCCAAAAAAACCCACACTGCTGCCAAGAAGAAGCATGCAGGTGGGACACCATCAACGCAGTCACACGACCACCAACAGAAGGCGAGAGACTCGAGACAGAACCGAACCAGCCCCGCCACGGGCCAATTGAGCCGAGGAAGAGGCGGTGCCGCGGGAAGATCTCGGGTGCGACCACGGAACCAGCAAAGTTGGAAAACCAAGCCGGCAAAGGAGGAGATGGAACATCCGCCGTACAGAAAACATCCCAACTCCCGCAAGCCCGCCAGGAGATCGGAGACAACAGTTCCGACGCATGATTCTAGAGAAGGGAAACCGAGAGAATGCGAAACGCCAACAGGCTGGGTAAGCCACATAACCAGGAACCGAAACCTGGCAACAGGAGAGCCAAAAGGCACAAACAAAACACAACCATGTTTAGGATAAAAGGAGAAAATGAAAAACACAAGACCAGAAGAAAAGCCCCAGCACCTACGGCCAGGGACAAGAGCGTAGAAGGAAGATGAGGAACGAAGAAGGCATGGAGCAAAAAAGGAATGAAAGGGACACGACCAACAACACACAGAGCCGCTGGTCATGTCCCAACAAGCCACGCCAACAACACAGGCATGTGACACGTCCCAACAAGACGAAAAGGAAAAAAGATGCAAAGGCATGCCAACAGACCAGCACCCAAACCAAGGAATACGAGCTACAAGGACCACCATATCGAAGAATCCCAAAGGAAGTGATAAGGTAGAAAAAGACCGACTACAGGACCCCAGGGGCACACACACCAGGGGACACTGATGGAATGAGAGCCCAAACGAGCCAGAGACATGGGAAAGAAGAATTTCAGTGTTAGAGTAGGAGACAAGCAGAACGCATGAGGAAGCGATGAGGTAAAGGATGACACCACACACAGCTTCAAGCGCAGATATGAAAAGAGCCCAGCAGACCTAGGAACCTGCACATGAGCAAATAACAGGTGAGAAGCGGGACCAAAAAGCCAGAACCCAACTCCCACAACACTAGGGAAGTACAACTAGGTAAGTACCGTACAGAGAAACCAATATATATATGGAAGGTCTAAGCCAGGCACTGCAAGACGTGCAAGGAAAGAGTGACATAGATAAGACCATAAAAAATGAGGCCACGACCCCCTTTGCAACCATGAACCCAGCTGAACAAGTAAGGCCACAGGAAGAAGCACGGAAGGGCCAAACAAAAAATCCACAACCAATTCCCAACACACATCCACAGCATGAAAACTGCAAGCAAAATGTCACCTCAGAACATCCAGACAGGAACACTTACCCCATAACATATACCCCCACCATTGTACCTCGTAACCTGGTGGAGGTATGGCCCCTATCTGGATTCAAGCATGGGCTGGACATGCATAAGAGTGAGACAGGATGGGTACAAATAGGAGCTGCCTCGTATGGCCCATTAGGCCTGCTGCAGTTACCTATGTTCCGATGTTCGTATATTCGTATCCAAAAATCACTAACCAACGCTTGGTTGAAGAGAAGCCAGACCACATAAACTCACCTGCAGAACGTAGGCACGAACGTGTCACGACACAACATAGCCGAGAAGATTCTGGGAGCACTGCCAGTGGAAGAAGGCAGAGACGCACATGCAGGAGAAGAGGGTAGAGGCGACAGAGGAGCCCCACACCCATATGCAGGGAAAACCCCGCGTCCGCCCCATAGCAGCAATCCAGAACACTCCCAGGAGCTACCGGGCATGGATTGGAGAATGGAGAAGAGTGAGAGGTGAAGCACCCGAGAGAAAAGGGACGTAAAACACCAGTACACGTGCACACCGCCCGTATCAAAACAAACAACCACAGTGCATGCGCAGCAGGGCTGCCAGACGTGGGTCGCCAGAAGTCGCAAGCTGAAGAAAGAAACCACGAAGTGACTAGAAAAGAGACAAAACAGTGTTGTTAACGACCGAATCCCATATGAGAGTACACAGGGCAGCCGCCAACCGTAGGCGAAAAGAGCAGGAAGGAGCGAAAAGAAACAGCACAGCTTCCCAGTTGGGCTACAAAGGAGCACCCCCTAGTAGCCCAACCAGGCTACAAGAAGCCCAATCTGGCAACCCTGGGCAGCGCAGGACAGTGCACACACTGCACGGAGAGAAAGAGACAAACACGAAAGAACAAAACAGGACCGAAAAACGAAAATCTTGGACAAGGACCAGCAAGCCCCAGAAAGTACCGGAAGAAGACAGACGTTCCAAGAATATGGGAAAAAACAAAAACCTACCAGATCCTTCCAGAACAAAGAAGCAAACGTGAAGCACGAAGGCATGGAAGGCAAAGTCGCATCCGAGACTAAAAGTCATACAGAACCCCGAGAAGAGGGAAACATGACTGTGAAGGCTCGTCCCAAGAAAAGGGTGGAGAAACGTACCCACCAACAGGACGAACCCGACGGATCCAAGGGACGAGGAGCTGATCCCGGGGAGGGGCGACTCCCAAAACCATGTATGGAGAGGGGGGGGAAGGAAGAAAAACCCCACTCCTCGTAACCTCAAGCCCCGCCCAAAGGGTAGACGAGGGGACCAAACATCAGCCCCTCACCAGCCCCGGGAACCCACAAGGCAGGTCCCGGGGCCGAGGCGTTCCCCCATAGCCCCAGCCTCACAAGAAAAAGCCCGGGCAACCGGACAATTACAAAGGATGGGAGCCCACTGGCAGACTCATACAACACGGCTGGAGGAATAGGCTCGAATGCCCCCGTCGCTATCCTGAAAGGAGGAAATTCCCAAGACCGCCCGAGTCTCAAGACCAGTGAAGCCCTGCCCTGACCCCGAACCCACAAATGGTAAGGATCCGGATGCAGGGAGAAAAAGATGGGTGGAACCATAACATGGAAAGACAAGGGGGCATGGAAGGAACAAAACCGAAGCGTCCAACACCCTCAAGCCCCGTCACACCGTCCAAAACGGGGCGGCCCCGGGGCTCCCAGGGAGCAAACGACCTAGCACGTTGCACCACTGAAAACTGGCAATGCCCGTGCTGCCTGCATCCGCATAGTCAGCATAAGACTGGGTAATCGAGCCACAAACAAGCAACAAAACTCACAGGGCTCTGGGCCGAAGGTGCCACTGACCCCACAGGCAGCAGATGGAGGCAAAACAATGAGAGTCACCCTGAGACAAGGGGACAGAGCAACCCTCGAACTCCCACAAAGTGAGGGGGGGAGGGGACTCCAGGGCCACATCCATCGGACCCACGCGCCTCCTAGGGGTTTCCCAGGGTCCTGAGCGTTTACCTACTGGGACTCACGCCCAGGTAACCCCAGGCAGGGTACTGCTAACCGGCGCCCACAAATACCAAACAACATTCTAAGAACTGAACCCCCGGGACATGTACACTCACAGGGACCTAGCAGAAAGAAGAATACCTAGTACACAGGGTACACAGGGAAAGAATCAAGGCAGACCCCCCCACCAGGCAGACAAACAAAAAGAAAAAGAATAACCCCGAAAGAGGACAACGTACCCAGGCGAAACAGAGCTGGCCGCTATGATAGGTGAAAACAAGCTGCGCAGTACCCTGCGCCCCTACCAGTGCAAACTGCCCCCTTACCCCAAGGCGAACAAGGTAAACAAAACACCCTAGCACACAAAGGGCGGCCAAAAACCAAGCAGTAAACGGCCTAGCAGGGGCCGAACCCAAGGAACTTGAGAAAGGTAGGCCCCAAGTCCCAAGGGCAGTATTTAAAGGGCACCTAGGGAAGGAAACCCTAGGCGCATGCAGCCCAAGTAGGTACTGGAGAATCACTCCCAACTCACACACCACACACTAAGTACAGTGCTGAAACAACCACCGGAGCCAGAGCACACGACCTCAGCCTTTAGCATCAGCCTTAGAACTGACGGGTGGATAGCCGGCGTGAGGAGACTGGGGCTTGCCCTTCCGGGGTCGGGCAGGGCTTCGCTGGTCTTGAGTGGGGGAGCTGCACAGACAGCGGCGCGGCGACATGTGACATCAGGATTGTTTGCTCGTTTCTTCTAGGGGAGTTTTATCCACTTGTTCAGTTTTTGATAGCAATAATTTCACCAGAATAGGGGTTTGTTTTGAGATGCTTACCTTTCTGGGTGCCTGACCCGGTCGATGGCAGACATAAAATGCTTCCAATCACATGGGGGGTTTCTATAGGCCATTGCTCCCCATGCCTCTCTGAAGGGGGGGGCCAGGTTTTGGCTCGTGGTCCCCGGTAGGCCCACAGAACTCCATACACATGACTGATGCCAAAGTCTGACATTAGCATATCAGCCTAGTAAGCTCTGGGGAGCTGAAGGGGCTCCCCCCCCCCCAGAAATAGAGGTGAATGAGAAATTATGTGAAATAAAGGTAAATGGAGAAGTTGAGAAAGCAATCAGTTTAAATATCTGGGGTAGAAGCATAAGAATGGAGAGCAAGGCCAAGAAGCAGCTGAGACAAGATGTTTGAGTGTTTGAGTAAGCAGGGATTGCATAAAAACAGCATGTGAAAAGAGTTAGGAAAAATCAATTTAAGAGGACCAACACACCTCTTACATGACAAATAACAGGAAATACTCTACAATTAGTTGTATGAAGCAATGGGAAATTGCTGTGAATGTTTTAGTGTAGTGTGACAGATCCTAATTCCCCAACCCATGAAAATGGCCAGTACTGTGTAGTGACAGTCTCCCTTCTTGCAGGTCAGCGTTTAATTCCCAGTCGTCCAAGAGATTGGGTACATTCCTTCACTGTGTCCTCCAATTCCATCTCCTATCATGTCCTTGTACCTCTTTCATGTACTATATAATAAAATAATACTCTCTGTTGATAATTAAATTACCTTACAAACGACTTCCGACACCAAAGTTAGAACACTCTTCAAATGATAGTAAATCAAGTACGAAGCTGGTTACATGGCATGCACCAATGAAAATATTGTTCTGTTTAATGTTAACTAGTACTTACCACTATTTTCTTTGCTGATTTCAGTGCTTGTCTGACTGGTAGTTAGTGTTACATTTCCATCTGGTTTTGATTTATATCCGAGATTTCCAGGAGAATTGAAATCCTTAGTCCTCATTTTACTTGCTGGACTGTGTTTGTCTTGCATGAAAGATAGGTCTTTATCATGTATTGTAGCTTCAACAACATTTAATAAAGGCTTCAAAGGGGACATAACATGCTGATCATCTTCCGAGTCGAAGAGTTGTGGGGAATAGGTTTTTTGATGATTAACTGATGCCTCATCATCAACTTTATCACCACATTGTGTTGTCCCAAATAATAAGCTTTTCTTTGCTGAAGAAATGTTCACAGCATTGGACTGGTTCTTTTTATTATCACTATTCAGTATTCCAGAATTTAATGGACTCTTTTCTTTTATTTCATTTTCAATAAGCATCTTTAACGGTGAGACACTACACTTAGCACTGGCATCTATATACTGAAACTTGTAGCCACCATCCGTAAAGGTTTTGGGGGTTTCAGAATCCATTAAGCTTTTCCCTTTCTTTTTATTTGTTTTTATTTTGTCTCCTAATGATGAGGATTTTCTTCTTTTAGATGGATTTGAATTGTCTAGTTTAGTAAGGGTTAAGGCACTAACAAAATCAGACGCCTGAGATGACACCGTTTTTCTCGAGTCTAATAGCTGGGTTGATGTGAAAGGAAGTCTGCCTGATGGTAATATAAGATCTTCCTTATCCATGAAGTCTTCAAAAAGCTGAGTTTCTGGATCATTAAACATATTAGAACTAAAATTTGCACCTATGCACGGGTCAGTGCTGTCTTGCAAGGCAATGTTCTTATTATTTATACTTTTGTCTTTCGAGGCAATGTTAATTTCATTTATATTACTAGGCACAGAAAAAATACTAGCACCTGCATGGTTAGCTAAAAGACGGTTTGTATGAGTTAAACTTGACTCAAGTTGTCTAGGACTTTGATTACAAGATTTATTAGCCCAGTTAAGCTTTCTTGGTGAACAATCTACTGAAGCACATGGACTGGTTTGAGGACGTTCAGATATATCCATCTCTTTCAATGCAGGCACTGTTTCATCCAAGCTGTAAATATACATTTCACAATTAGATATATTAGTATTAACCAAACATTACAATTACTTTAAATTATACAAGGAAAAATCACACTGCTAATCAACAAACAAAATCCATTCAGTTACTAGACTTGACATAAAGGATCTTAAAATACATGATGTGAATAGTCAAAATACACATTTCTAACCTTTCAGGATTCACTGGAGGATGAGCAGTCATACTTTCTGCAAACTCATTGAGCTTGGACAGGGCTTCTGAAAAATTCTGATGGTGAACAATTTTATTCCTCACCCACTTGGACAAGCCACGGGTATATTTATTTTGTTGCAATCCATTAGACAAACTGCCTCGTTGGTATCTTTCATCAACCAATATGAGTGCACCCCAGTCAAAACGATGGCGAATGCATCTTCCCAATGCTTGATTAATTGCTCTGAAAAAGGAAAAAAATTCAAAATGCTGCCCTCTAGTTACAAAATGTTGTTATTTGACTTCAAAATGCTTCCCTGTGACCCCCATCATGTCATTAAAAATGATAATACCTATAGTTACTAAAGACGAAAGAGCAACAGATAGACTGTTGCATCCCAAAATAAGTCCCTGTTTTGAACTATAAATTTTGTAGAATTCCTGAGAAAGAAGGTAAGCACTGAACCTAACTCTTCCTAGGCCTAGAATTGTATTTATATGTACTAAATTAGGCCTAAAATTGCATGTCAGGCATAGGATTGCTTATTTAGGCCTAGGGTAGATTAGGTTAGGTTTATGGTTACTTTGTTCCATTTTTTGGTATGCTCTTTAGCATTTCAATAGTGCAAAATGTAAACTTTTGTGGGTACAACCATCCAAATTGACACATTCCATCCACAACAGCTATAGGTTCATTCCATCCACAACAGCTATAGGTTTATTCCATCCACAACAGCTATAGGTTTATTCCATCCATAACAGCTATAGGTTCATTCCATCCACAACAGCTATAGGTTTATTCCATCCATAACAGCTATAGGTTCATTCCATCCATAACAGCTATAGGTTTATTCCATCCATAACAGCTATAGGTTCATTCCATCCATAACAGCTATAGGTTCATTCCATCCATAACAGCTATAGGTTCATTCCATCCATAACAGCTATAGGTTCATTCCATCCATAACAGCTATAGGTTCATTCCATCTATAACAGTCATAGGTTCATTCCATCCATAACAGCTATAGGTTCATTCCATCCATATCAGCTATAGATTCATTCCATCCATAACAGCTATATGTTCATTCCATCCATAACAGCTATAGGTTCATTCCATTCATAACAGCTATAGGTTCATTCCTTCCATAACAGCTTTAGGTTCATTCCATCCATAACAGCTATAGATTCATTCCATCCATAACAGCTATAGGTTCATTCCTTCCATAACAGCTATATGTTCATTCCATCCATAACAGCTATATGTTCATTCCATCCATAACAGCTATATGTTCATTCCATCCATAACAGCTATATGTTCATTCCATCCATAACAGCTATAGGTTCATTTCTTCCATAACAGCTATAGGTTCATTCCATCCATAACAGCTATAGATTCATTCCTTCCATAACAGCTATAGGTTCTATCATTTTTGGAGGATGGGTTGCATATGGCTTCAAAATGTTGACATTAGAATTCAAAATGCTGCCATTTTGATTAATTCAGTAATATATATATGCCATTACTTCCATAAATTGTAGTTACAGAAGTTGTACTGCTATTATAATTATCCAAAATATTGTAAAATTAAGTACATAATGACTACATAATATTTTAATTAAATTATTTATATCAAATTAATACAAAAGAAACTCTTTACATCCCACTTTACTCTGCATGAGAAACTACATGTACATATATATTCAATACAGAAACAGTATTGTGTGTGATTGCATATGTAACATTACCCTTGGGTGTTATGGGTCCAGCCTTAACTGTGTACTCCACAGAAACATAGCAGGACTGTTGGACATTGGAGTGATTGCGAGGATGATCTCCTTGTATTAGGTGTCCTGGTTGTTCCCAATCCCCTAATGGAACTCACTGGAACCCCAGTTCACACTGGACCTTTCAGTTGTGAACAAGTTCATTCTCTGTCTGACTTTCCATATGATTACTGTCACGTTCGCCTGGTCATGTCCTCAGGCTTTTGCATGGTGACCTTGGACCCTTGGGATGCTTAGTGGGATGTCCTGATACACCTGCAGGTTTCAATCCCTGGAACTCTATTTTTTAATTCTTTCCCTTGGGTTGAGCAGATCCAGTTGTTATGCTTCTCTGCTAGCCAGGGATCGGATTCTTCCTAATTGGCAGGTTTTGGGTTTATCATCAATTGGAGGCAATCTCATTTAGTTCTGATGCAAGTTTAGCCCTGGATGGGCCTTGTTTGGGATGCTAGGACAGCATCTCATGTCTTGCATTCATCTGATGGTGATGAGCACACAGATTATCAGAAGATCTCTCCAGTGATTATGCAGCTGACTTAACTTTGCCAGGTCTGGCTAAGGTGGTCTTCCGATTTCTCTGACGGAGCCCCATTTTGCTATTGCTTGAACTATCCGTGCAGACTCCAGGTGCATTGTGGACACTTCTTTGTCTCCATTTGTTAAACTGTCTCTGGAAGTTTTTTACCTTCAGCCATCTCATTCTGCTCCAGAATCTTATAAGTCTTTGGACTGTATTTTTTCCTTCCTGTTTTTACCTCATTTTCATAAATTTCTGTTCTCTCTGGCCTTGGTTTTTGAAGATGTTCATCCCGTTGGTTCTTGCTTGAATTTCAGGGACTTCTTCGGAAGCAGAAGTTTTGCTCCTTTTGTCAAAGTTTTTTGGTCTCTTCATCTTCAGACTGCATCGTCTTTTTTGGGGAAGAATGAGACTTCGACCCTCTGGAGGGAGTTCCTTGGTAACCGAGGTTAAGTTTGTTCAGCCAAGGGTGCATCTCACACACTGTCCTGTTGCAGTTATCTGTCACTACTTGCATGCCACAAGGGATGTTCATGTAGATGCACTTTTTGTGTTGATCCTGTGTACCTGGTCCCTTGTTCCAGGGCTTGGTTGTCTTGGCAGGTCTGGAGTGTTGTAAGGTTGAGGCAGCCAGTTGTCCTTCCTCAAGTTCATGATACCACAAATTTGAAGGCCTTCTGTATTTATTGTTAACTCAGATTTTCTTACCTCTTTTATTTCAAGTATAGTCTGTAAATACTTCATTCCTAGTAGATGGGAGGGAACAAGAACACCGAAGTACAAAAGAAGCTGACATGCCAATACACTTACCGATATGCCTGAATTTCATACCAATCACCCCCAGTCAGCAAGCCACGTGATCTGTAATGCTCATTATTGTATTGCCTTTTTAAGTCAACCTGAATATCTTTTACATTTGGATATGGTATTCCAACCTGAAATAGAAAGATCAAGACAACATTTAATAACAGCTAAATGCAAAATATGGAATATTCATTGTTTATTTATAAATTGTCATCAGTTAAATACTAAACACACACACATATTAAAGTTCTCAATCAGGGGAAGCTAAATTCATTCACATCTTGAAAAGTAGATATGACAAGAGTAATAGCAGGTTGGGAGTAGTTGTAAACTTTGAGCCTGGCCTCAGGCCGGGCTCAGAGAGTAGAAGAACTCCCAGAACTCTCTCCAGATAAACTTACAGCAATAACAGCCCGGGCATTATCATCAGTAAAGTCTAAACCCTCGCTAACTTTCCCACGACACACTGCCATGAAGAAAGCTCCATTAATCCCTTCACAATTCTCTGTTCTGAAAGAAACAAGATTATTTACAGATTTTAAGAAAAACATTTTTACCTGTCCAACTTCTCTAGGACTTTATAAGGATTTATAAGGCTTGAGAGTTAACAAGTACAAGTACAATATCTTAACCACTGAACTGCACTACACGCCTGCTGGCACTTGATGGGAGCGGGGGGGTGCGCAAAGCACCTCCGGGATCTTATATTTTTAGTGTATGATTCAAAACTCCCGCATCTACATGGGGTTCACATCTGCTTCCTCAGGGCTCTTGTAAACAGACATCATTTAAAAAAAAAATCGTGGGCAACATTCCCAGGTGTGAGAGCCTCAGTACTGAGTGAGCAACCAAGGCTGGCACACACAGCTTGAGCTCACAGCACTGCTGTTCAGCTTGTGACCACAGCATCGCCTAATAATGTCAAAATATATATATAACTGGTATTATTTAGCCATGATAGTATTACAGAAGAGCCTGAGTGTAATAATGACTGTGTGCAATGTTCAAATATCAGTGAATCAATGCTGTTCACGATGTTCACAGCGCTAGCCACAGCATTATTTCGTCTATCTAGGAATCTTCAAATGACTTCATATGTTACTTTACAAAATAAACTTGTGGTCAATTCTCATTTACAAGATTTAGTGACCAGGATTGTGATAATAGCAGGATTGTGGTGATAATTAGCGCTGTGTGTAGTATTGTGGGAGGAGGAAGTTTGGTGGGGAAGGGAGGGAGGAAATCCAGATAGCATCACTGTGTCTGGCAGCCACTTTTGTTTTGCTCACCATACTAGCTTAGTGGTTCGCTATGGTGAACACATATGTACATGGGTATATACAGTGTGTGTATATACCCATGTACATATGTGCATAGTATTGTGGGTGGAGGAATTTTGGTGAGGGGAAGGGAATCCAGATGGCATCACTGTGTGTGGCAGCCACTCTTGTTTTGCTCACCATACTAGCTTAGTGGTTTGCTATGGTGAACACACATGTACATGGGTATATACAGTGTGTGTATATAGTGTAATAACAGCAACAGGAGTATGTTGGGAGGATCCATTTTGGTGAGGGAGGTGGCGTCGTACTCGTAGAGTCGTCTGCTGGCTGCTGTGTGATTTCTCATGCAGTGTATACTGGTTTAGTTGTATAGATATGGTGAATAAAACATGTAGATATGTATACATAATGTGTGTAAATAGTGTAATAAAAACAATAACAGTATGGTGGGAGGAGCAATGTTGGCGAGTAAGGCATAAGGAGTAAGCTAAGGTGTTGGAGGAGTGAGGGCCGGAGAGCTGGCTGGGTGTGGCAGCTCACACTCGTGGAGTTCTGAGTGTTGATGGTGAACAATTGTGTTGATGGTGAATGTATATAGTGTGTGAGTGTATAGCGTGTAAATATGTTATAAATATGCATAAATGAACATGAAACATTGGATATATGAGCAATATATGTGGACACATTTGAGACACACAACACGGTGTCTTGGGACAGTTCGGATGTTCTACTGCCATAATATCGTGTACGTGTTCATTACACAGGATTTTCAAGAAAAAACAAAACAAATGTATTTGGAAATGTACGCAAAAAATGAACAAAAAAATATTTGTGGCAACTCGTGCATGTTGAAGCTGGCAGGCGACTGGTTCCGGGAGTCTACGTCACGGGCGATCACCAAATCATGATGTCACACACCATTTTCCGGACCCCATTGCAGCCAAAGTAATTACAATTTCGATTTTTTTTTACATATCTGTGATCAGGGAAGGGTATTTAACATTTTCAAAAACAAAAAGAATTTTTTCCCGAGAATTTATTTCCTGTGCACAGGGGGAAGGGGGGTGTGCCGTATTTGGAAGGCGAGCAGCACAGTGGTTAAGCACAAGCATATTGGAAAACACAAGAAGAAAGGGAATATGATAACCCATATAAGTTCATAAGAATATAAAAAGATAGACAAGGAATACATTGCATTGTCTAATCATTTTTTAAACTGGTATATTCAAATAATTTTCAAACATTTAGGTGTTTTATCAAACACCTTCTTCTGGAACCTTTCTCCTGCAGTTTATAATTATATCTGGTTTTAACAATTCTTTTCTATCTTACAAAAAACAACATTTAGAATAAAATACAATAAAAAACGTGAAATGACAAGTCATTTTCTCAAATGTGCTTACCCAGTGTTTTTAATTGTATCATAAAAGAGTGTAATGGCTTCCTCAAACTGTTCATTATTTCGTGGTTCAGTAATGACCACTTTTACTTCATTCAGTTCATTCCATATCCCTGTAACCTGCCATCTGTCAAAGAAACACAAATGTATACAGTACTTGAAAATATAATGTGAGATGGAAAACAGTATATATATCCTAGAATGCAAATCTAAATACATCAATATATCTGTAATTGAGGAGAAAGACCTTGGAAAATTCAAAGGTTTTCTGTTCCCTCTGAAGTCACTAGAGATGGTGATGTTCAGGTAAATTCAAAGATATATCCAGTACGTGTACAACATTTCCTTCTGAAGAGCAGGGGGGGTTAGTGGCTTGTTGGGGTTTCTGTACATCATATCTATCCATACATAACTGACTCTTCTTTTATCCTTTTCTTTAATGTCTCTCACCCTGTCCTTCTACCTCTCTTTAATTGAACTTTTTGCACCTTTTTCTTCCACCCTTCACCCATATCTTTAATCATCTTACCTTACAACCTCATTCTTTTCCACTAAAGTATTTCATTACCATCTTATCATCAATCTGCCATTACCTAATTTCTTTACATGTCCAAACCACATAGGTTCTATATTCTTTATTATTTTTATAATGCTTGCATTGTAAGAGGTAACATACAGCCATAAGCTGTAGCACAGTGATCAGTGAAGTCGGATCACAATTTAAAGGTATCCATATTTGTTCCCACTTCAGGACAGAGAAGTTTGGGTACGTTTCTGTTCATCCGATGCCTTTGTTCATCTAGCAGTAAATGTAGTCTAGTAGTAGTAATATTCAAGAGTTAGTAAACTGTTGTGAGTTGCACGCTGAGTAAGGTGTATACTTGGCCAAGGGGTACGTTGATAAGTTTAACAGACTTCTTGTCCTCGACAATAGGGAAATATATGCCATCTAATAGCTAATTTGACATCTGAAATATCATACCAGTCAATAAAGGTAATTAACACTTGACATCTATATGTCACACCAGTCATACATTTTCTATTTTAGTCTAAGCTTCAAACTAAACAGCACTCATTTCTTCATTTTTACAATGGACATGACAAAGACAAACAGTTACAATGCATGGGTACCCTGCAGTTACATTGTGTTGATTGTGGGGGTCAAGCCCCGCAGCCCAGTCTCTGACCAGGCCTCCTTCACACAATGACACAACCTTCTGGGTATGGCACAACCTCTCATTGTTTTTTGTACATACAAGTTATAATGGCATATTACATAGAAACCAGGTAAGTAGCACAAAGTAGACAATAATTGGCAATATTACAACAGCATTACCTATCAACTAATTTGTTGAGCATGGCATAGGAAGGGAGGAAGCAGAGTATTCCTCGTGGCACAGCCTTGCAAACAGCCAATACCAAACGTCCTAGTTCATCCTGGAATTCCCAAGTTTCAGTATGACGATATGTTGCTTGCAGCAACTGATCTGTCGGTCCTCTGCCTACTGTTCCAACCCACACCTGCATATAGAAAAATACATTTCAGTAAAAATAACCTATCCTTCTTTAATTTACATAATTCATAACTTTATTGAACCAGGAAAAACTACTCTAAAGGATAGTAAAATTTAAACAAATACAAATATAATGTAAAGAGAATGGTCTACATTATTCACAATGCATCTTATTTAACACATACTAATTTAAAATCAGAGGTTGAAAAACATACACAATTTTATAAGCACAACAAAAATGTACAAAATTAACACTACATTCTGCCTGGTTCATAACACTAAGCAGGACACACTACACTACACTAAGCAGGAGTCTCAGGCACGTCACCAGGTCTATGGTGGCTGGCTCATTGCAAGACTAACAAAACTCGTGCAGTTTTCCTCACAATTTTGCTCATTTTGTTGTCAATATCGGAGTAGGTAGGAAACTGAACCCCTGAGGCAGTTTTTATTTGGGTTTTATTAAGTGAATTGGCTTTCTGTTTGTCCTGTATTTTTATTCTAATATGAGTATTTTATACTGCACTATATTTTTGTGATTTCTCTACAAAGGACTGATTGCCTTTGTTGGCTATGACATGGTTCAAGAAACTAACAGTAGTCTTAAACCTCGTCCACCAAAGAAAAGCTTCTCTTGTGAACACCTTTAGATGTCTGCTCCTCATGGCATTCTCTCACTTAAGACAACTACTGTAGTTCAAACTTGGTCTTGAGAAAGACAATGCACAGACAATAATTAGAGAAACCATTTGGAATATATTCAGTAAAATAAACCTCATCTGTATTTCACAAGTCAAACAAAAACATATTCACAATGCACTTATTAGTTAGATAAAAATATGGACTCTGAAATCACTAGGTTTTAAAAATGCTGAAATTCATTAACAAATAAAAGTGATAAGAACCAATAAAAAAATAATAATAATAGTCGAATCTAATGAAATGCATCTTTCTACTGGGACCTCGGTGGTTCCCTGGAGCCATAGGGGGCCACAGGGAGCCATAAGGAGCCACTGCTAGGCCCTGACTAAAAACTCATGTCACACGTACCTGGTTCTTGTCAACGACATGATTTGCCTCCAGTTGTATTTTAAAGGGGACAGATAATTCAGACTGGAAGGAATTCATCGGAGACAGAGTTCCTGATGTCAAGATGATGGAACGAGTACTGGAGCCAACAGAATTAAACGCTACACCAGGGTTAAGGCACCAAAAGTTAATAGAGTATACCCATTCCACTGTAGATTTTCCTCTGCCAAACCAGCCACCTACAGTCTGTTGATAAATATTTGAAAAGTGTATTAGCATAACTCATTATTAATAAACATTTAATTCAAGAAATGTAACTTATATTTTATGAAAAATCATTATGAAACCCTTATGTACATGTGGATACATGTACTGTTTTGATTTATTGTATTGTACATAAGTATCAAACAACAACACAGCAGTGAGAAGAGAGGCAGAAAGAAATTTTGATAAAGAGATAGGGGACAAATGTAAAACAGAACCAGACCTAGTCTATAAATTCACTAAAAGCAAATGGCAGGTAAAGGATAAAATTCAGAGGTTGAAAATGGGAAACAGATTCACAGAAAATTAAAAGGAAATATGTGAAACATTAAACGAACAGTTCCAAAGTGTGTTTGTGCAAAATGAAATTTTCAGAGAACCAGACACAATAAGAATAAGGAAGAGGTAGCATGGTCTTACAGGAGCCTGACTGCATGAAGTTAAAGATAAATAATAAAAGGGCATTGGGCAACCGCAACAATTGCATGGGTACCGTAGTAATTCATTAACATGTGACCCCAACTGTGTGTTGAAAACTATAGAAGCTATATCACCATCATCCTTATCATTAAATTTCCTCCTGTCTGTAGTTTGAGAACCTTGGGAATCATACATGGTAATACCCCAGTGGTCAGCCACCTGTGGTCAAAGGTGAGGATAAGTGTGAATGAGGCATCACGAGCTTGTGAGTAAAAGTACATACCGTTGATTTTGTATAAATGTGGCTTGCCCAAGAGGCATAGCCCAGATTGATCCACCTGGACAGGTGGAGGCTGAATCTAAGAGACGAGATATTCCAACTCATCCCTGGTGTGTCAAGCCTTAACCCTTAAACTGCTACAGCATAAGGGCCAGGAAGCCAAAAATATTCAAATCATGTAAAAATTACTTAAAAAGTTAAACAAATCTCCAACCTATTGGCTTCAGCATCGTTTAACTTTCATCAAAATATTTTCAGAAATTGATTTTGAGACAAGTTTTATAAAATGAAGAACATTTTGTTGATAAGGAGACCAGCTTCTATTAACTGGAACTGAGGGATAATGTAGTAATAAGGAGACACAAGCACCTGTCCGATGCACAAAGAAGAACAATAGTAGTAAGAAGTGTCCACAAAGTGGATATGCAGCTGATGCCTTTATAGCATTGCTGAATAATATATAATAACACCAATAATAATGAGTAAGTATGTTGTTATGCTCTATTTTATTATATATCATATAAATACATTGCCCAATGTTAATATCTGTTACTTTCACCAATGTCCCCCAAAAATTGGGGGGGGGGAGGATTTTTTTTTATCTCCTTTGTTTGTTATCTGATTTTGTTGTAACCTCTACATCCTGGAGGGTGCGTACCCATCCCTAACTATGTGATGATAGAATGAATTGGTCAACAAATAAATTAGTCACAACTTGCAGAACTTGGGACTTTGAATTTTTTGGGGCTGATTTTTTCACAGATTTCAAACTATATTTTCTTTATCTCTTTAGGTTGTTTTGATGATTAGGGACCAGATTAGGTCTTTTTCACTTATATAAAGTATATCCTAAATATATCCCCAAATTATTATAATTATCTATATTTTGTTTTTGGGGGGGTTATTTTTTCTTGACTTCATTTTAACACATACTGACCTACAACTTTCACATATTCGAGTACGAATGCCAAACAATGTTTATTAAAACATACAAGTAAATTAATGAATTAGAGCTACTTTTATTCATTGTCAATAATTTCAACTTCAATTATCTCTAAAACTATAGCTTCAATGTTTGAGTGGCTTCTAAAATTCCAGTTTCAGATCGATTCTTATCATTTTGACATATTATGTGCTTAGCTGTCTGTTCTACAATCCCTTCAGAATGGCTTTTTCATAAATCCTAAACTTTTGGAGTTGTAAATTTCTGTGGAGTGCCCCTTCGGCTCCCTGGAGCTATACCGGGCTGATGTGTATATATTAGACCGTGGCAATAGTCAATCAAAGGAGTTCTAGGCCTACCGGGGACAACAGCCAGAACCAAGCCCCTTCAAGAGAGGCACAAGGAGCAATGGCCTAAAGAAGGTCCTGAAGGGGCAATCCCCGAAGCCACCCAAGTCTCACTACCAGTATAATTCAGCGGGGGGCAGCTGCGGGGCATCCGGAAAAGCAACCAACCTCAAATGTTGCTGCGACTTAAACCTTGCATGCAACACTAAAGCTGCCTGCACCCAAATATCAGTCTCAGTGGACTGGGTGAATGGAGTACAAGCAAAGAAAATCACTCGCAGGACTCCGGATCATAGATGTCACTGACCCCAACAAGCAGCAAGGCGGAGGCAGACTGTGAGTGTCACCCCAAAACAGGGGGACAGAGCAACCTTCAAACTCGCACAAGGCGAGGTGAGACTCAGAAGTCTCCTCAGAACCCCTGCGAGACTCAGAACCCCTGCGATGTGTGCAAGCACGGGGACCTAGTGGAGGGCCACCAAAAACCTACCAGTGGTCATACCCCCACACCTGGCAGACCCCCGGCAGGCATAACAAAACAAGAACATCAGCAGTAGTTTGTTTTGGAATTCCTACTTTTCTGGGTGCCTGACCTGGTAGATGGCAGACAAAGACTGCTTCCAATTACACGAGGGTGTCTTTAGGCCACTGCTCCTCGTGCCCCTCTTGAGGGGGCCAGGTTCTGGCTCTGGTCCCTGGTAGGCCTAGAACCAGGCCTTCGATTGACTGTTGCCACGGTCTAATATATACACATCAGCCCAGTATAGCTCCGGGGAGCCTCCGGGTCTCACCCAGAAAATGGCATTTCATTACATTCAATGCTGGTTTTTTTGTCTAAATTTGGCGCATATTTCAAATGCCATATTGATGATTTTTTTTACAGTAAGCTATATTGAAAACCTATATTATATTTTAAATCTATAAAAATGAAGATCATATGCTATTCTGAGAGCATAATAACACCAAATAAACAATTGGTGATATTTTATATTTTTGTAGCCGATTTCAAAATCTGAAGTTTTCAATATTCAATGTTATAATTATTTTTTATTTTCTTGTTTTTCAAGTTACGTTGGTGATCATTTAGACAAAGTTGGAGCATATGCCTAGTAGATTATGCACAAAAATGTTGAGTGTTTCAGCAGGTTTCAGAAATTGAGCTCCTACTCAGGGCATATATGTATGCTTTGTGCAACTTAAGGGTTAAATGAAGACTCTTTATGAGTGCCGCTAAGCATAGCAAACTCAATGTTTATGTGAATTACACCACTCAAGTAGTTGTACAATATGTCGGAAATTATTTTGTTTTAAGTATGCAAAATGATGCCCAAAAATCCCCATTGGAACTCCTGAAACTTGTTTGTAATTATGACAATGTTAGGAGTAGTATAGTGAAACGAGTCATATAAACCAGTGTTAAGATAGGGTACCCCTCAAGATAGCTAAATATCATTCAGTGGATAATTAGGTGTCACTGTCCGATTCATTTGTGACTGATGCTTCTTAAGCTCACTACTACTTGGGGCTGTTTGCATATTACAACTGGTGACATTGCAAGCCCTTGGAAAGAAAGAGACCCCAAAGGGCGTACTCCCAAACCTCCAGCAAGGAAGAGAATGGTGACCAATGGTAGAAGCAATGCCAGCGACAGCAATAAAAAACAACTCTGGTCACTAGCAGCCAAGCTGAACAAGTAATCAAGGCACACAAACCAGATTGGCCTGAAAAACACAAACAAGATCTGTCAGGAATAAACATAAGCACAGGTCCCCACAACGAACTAAATCCAAAGGATGACTAACACTTAAATGAGATTCTGATGCCCAAAGAGCAGTGTGGAGCCTTGAGGAACAGCACCAGGTGCATGAAATGACTAGGGTGTAACCTAAGTGTAGTTACAGGATGAGAGCTACGCTCGTGGTGTCCCGTCTTCCCAGCACTCTGTCATATAACACTTTGAAATTACTGACAGTTTTGGCCTCCACCACTTTCTCACCTATATTGTTAAGGAAGTGGTGCTAATTAGCAGTTGGGCCTAAACACCAAGAATGTACATTCAGTACTGTAGTTAAACTCAAGGTTATAACTGTTGTTTAAGCAGTTGCTTATCTTGGGGCTCTGTCTTTCTTGTGGCTTTTCATTTGGCACTGTAGTGATCTTGTATCCTTAGACTTTTGTGAGGGGGAGTAAGATTTTGGTCCTGGTCTCCCTTAGGAACTCATTATTTAGTAGGGTCTGGTGTGGTACCTAACGTTTGGGTAATTCCAGGGGAAGGTAGCTCTGGACAATACCGAAAGGGCACCTCCAGCAAACAGCAGCAATATTTACTGGAGGAGGAGAAGTTGTGGGGAAAGCACTAAGCCATTACAACTATATAGCACTAGGAAGAGGTTAGGATAAGGATTTGGGATGGGATGGAGGGAAGGAATGGTGTCAAACCACTTGGACGGTCGGGGATTGAACGCCGATCTGCATGAAACGAGACCTTCGCTCTATCCTCCTGTCCACGTGGTTAGGTAAATTTACTGGAGAAAATTAAGTAATCACAAAATGATCCAGAAGAAGTCAGCAATATTATGGGAAACAGTCTCCATGAACACTCTCAAGCAGGGAAAAATAATTATGCCTTTCTTAGCCACAAGACAAGAAGCATAACTACACATATTAATTTTTCCTCCAAGAGCCAAAATTTATTCATGATAAGTGGAGTATGGATAAAGAACAAAACACTCAAAGCTAACTTACCATACTACCTTTTTTCCTAGTCTGAGCTTTCACTAGTGCAATTCGATAATCATCACGGTATTTCATGTTATCCATAAACATGAAATGGTACATAAGAAAAAGATTTTTCAGTAATGTAGATGTTGTAGAGTTGATCCGGGCCCCAAATTTGTTTTCTGGGTCTGGATGTTCTAGGTCAACATCTTCCATTAGTTTAGCCAGACAGTCCTAGTACATATAAAACATACAGATGTCAAAATATTAGGAGTACAGTATAATTAAGTGTAGCAAAGCTACTAAATATACTCAGGAAAATTAATATTTGACTAAATTTTTTTTTTTTTAACTGATGGAAGACTTTTGTTAATTAAATAAAATAAAATAAAAAATTTCTATTCTGCATTTAGTTCCTAATCTTGTTTTCTTGATGCAAACACAGTCACGTTGAAAATGCTGAAAGTAATTAAGATACGGGTATCTATAAAGGTATAAAAATCTAAATGTATACAAGAAACATGTAACATTATCAAATGTACTTTTTTTTAAATAAAATAAGCATTGAATGATGGGTAGATACGCCATAGAGATGTGAGAAAACATTTCTTTGGTATAGGAGCAGTCAATAAGTGGAATGAACTAAAACAGAAAATAAGACGATAATAACTCAAATTTTGAGGTACAGCACTTTTAAAAGAGGAAAAAACCAGCATTGAATGTAATGAAATGCCATTTTCTGGGTGAATCCCGGAGATTCCCAGGAGCTATCCAGGCTGAATGGATATGTATAACTTTCTGGCATCAGGCAAAGTGCTAGGAGTTCTTGCCTACCAGGAACCACGAGCCAGAACCTGGCCCCCCTCAGAGAGGCACGAGGAGCAATGGCCTATAGAAACCCCCTGTGGTTGGGAGCTTTCTATGTCTGCCATCGACCGGGATAGCCACCCAGAAAGGTAGGCGCCCCAAAACAAACCCCTATTCTGGTAAAAATATTGCTACCGAAAGCCGAACGAGTGGACAGAACTCCCCAAATAAAATTATCAAACTAGCATGACATCATTACATCGCCGTGTCACCATCTACAAAACCCCCCCTCCCCGGGAGGGGAAAGGGGGAGCCCCAGACCCTCCGAGCCGGTGATCCAACTGGCAGTTCTTAGGCTGGATGTCAAAATACGCGAAAAGCACCGCCGACCGGAGGGAGGGATGGATGCCGGGGAGCCTCCGGGACTCGCCCAGAAAATGGCGTTTCATTACATTCAATGCTGATTTTCTGGAGGGGGGGGAGCCCCATTGGCTCCCCAGAACTACCTCACCACAGATAAGGAAAATAGGGAAGGATCCGTGAGGCGGACACCATGCACTCTTACCTAAAAAACCAAGACCACGGGAAACAAAAACCTTGCGGACCCGAACCCCCGAACAGGAACAAGGGAAGAAAGGGAACGCGAACTACCAAAATGCATCCATGACCCCAGAGGCCAAGACGCGCAGAGAACAGCGAAAAAACACACCTGAACAACAAAGGAAGGACCCCCCGGCCCAACCCAAGGACCAAAATGAGAAGAAAAGAGACCACCCAGGCCAACAACCAGGACGGCACCAGAACGCAAGAGCTGGCCGGAGGTGAAACAATGCCTAAGACAGCAAGCGGAATGGAGCAGAAGGAATAGTAACACCGAACGCAAGCTGGAGCGGCTCCGCCAGCACCACCCAATACGAGGCGACAGTACATGGTCCCAGACGACGACCCCAGAACAACCCCGAAGGGAAGACAAGCCAACCCTATTCGAGATCGAAGAACCCTTCGCAGTGATAGGAAAACCGGAAGGACCGCCAGGAAAACCACACACCACCCCTGAGACGAAACACGCAGGGGGGAGACCAACAATGAACCCACCAATGCCGACACAAGCGACGAGAAACGAAAGACAAAAACCCCAGACATGAAAACTCGAGGGGAAGAACGAACCAGCTCTGTACAGAGCAGGACCGATCCGCAAAAAGAAGCGGAGCCGTGGGAAGACCCACCGAACTGGAACCGAGGAAAGCAGCAGGTCTTGCCTAGGCAGGCAAACACCAAAAGGAACATCCGCCAGGGAAACCAGGAACCCAACCCCAGCGAGCCGAAAAGAATCAACCCGGGCGAGCAGAAATGCCCCGTCCGGGAGGACCCCCCCCCCCTCCCTGGGACCCCTGAAGGTCCAAGGCCAAACACCAAGGAGCCAGGGCCCAGACAGAGGCTAACAAGGAAAACAAGCACCACGAACGAAAGTGTAAAACGCGAAGCGAAAAACAGCGACCCCACAACCCAAAGGAGCAACATAACCAGCTCCAGCAGGGAAGAATGATGCACACATTCCTGAGGCATCCATGAGGAGAACTACACAGGACATGAACTGCAGGAAAGCAAACACACACGTTCTGGAAAAGGAACAAAGAAAAATCTGAACCAGGACCGGAACCCCAGCTACCTGTTCAAAGAAAAGGAATCAGTAAGGCAGGAGCAGTAAATCAAAAGTCCACAACCCCCCACAGACAGTGCAACACCTAATCCTGCAGGACATTACAAAGAAAAAGCGTAGGAACTCAGTACCAAAACGGAACACCGGGTAGTCCAAAAGCAGGGAACTGAACATGGACAGAGGTCCACCCAAGTACCCAACAACAGGATAGTCAAGAAGCACCAACCCAGATACACTGGCAAGTGTAGCAGAGGAGGAGGAAAACTGGAAATAGGCAAGGAAAACCCCGAATACGGACCAAAGAGCGGCCGGGAATGCAATGCATACAACCATCCACAAAATGTGTAGTGGAGGGCGCACATACCCAAGGGACATCATGGATATCAGGGTGCAGCCAGGCACTGAAGATAGGCAAGGAATGAGTGTCCAGATAGGGAAAAGACCCACGTGCCGACAAACGAAACCAAAAGCATCGAAATGCAGGGCAGAGCCCCACAAGACAACAAAGAACAAGATACACGGACAAAGGAAAGTCACTGAAGACACACGCAAGGTGACCAAACACAACCCACAACACCTAACACCCCTGTTAGGAGCCATCGACGCAACCCCACCAAGCGGGGAAGTGACAGTAAACAAGGATGGAGCAGTGACCAAGGGTGGCACATGCACAAGGGGACACAGGAGGAAGCTAAGTACCCAAATGAACCACAGACATGAAAAAGAACCTGATCAATGTCAGATGAGATAGGAGGCAGAAAGAGCTAGGAAACGACGTGGTGGAGGCAGACTTCATCCACAGTAGCAAACGTAGATAAGACAGAGCCCAGGAGGCTCCGGAAACTGCACAACCTTTGACCGACAGGAGAGAGGCGGGAGCCAAAGAGCCACAGCTCAACCCCCCGAAAGCACAACTAGGCAAGCACCCCACCAAAAGTGGAGAACCAGCACCTGGCCGACAGAGGCGCCAGACAGGACAATCTCACCTGCAGAGCAGAGACACGACTGTGCCACAACACAGTCGAGCCAAGGAACATACCTAAACTTAAGTTTAGATTTAGGAAAGACTTGGGCAAAAACTGGTTCGGTAACAGGGTTCTTGATATGTGGAACCAATTACCCCGTAAAGTGGTGGAGGTGGGGCCCCCTCAATTGTTCCAAACGTGGGTTGGACATGATATGAGTGTGAGTGAGTATAAATAAGAGCTGCCTTATATGGGTCGAAGGGCCTCCAGCAGTTACCTTTGTTCTTATGTTCTGATGAACTTATACCAAGAGCATCTCTAGTGGTGCGCTCGAATGCCATGCATACTAGAGGAAGTAGGCAGTGTATGTACTGATATCTGAATAAAAATTGGAAGGTGAAATACGTTCAGAGGTGAGCGCCCAGCAGAAGACGAGGAGCAGTACAGAGGGGGAGGTGGTCCACACCGAGCCATCCCACACCCGGAAGCAGAGGAAAGAACGAAGTGACGTCCCCATATATAAAATCCAGAACACCCTCAGCATCTAGAGGGCTACGACTGGAGAGAGAGAAAACGAGCAAAAAGTCGCAGAAAACCGCGATAAACGATGCAGAACACACGAGTACACCACCCAGAGACAAAACGAACACCCCGGCCCCAGCACACGAGGTACGAAATGCACCACCCGTCTACCGGTCGGCGCGGCTCGTACACCAGGCGGACAACGACGAGGCCCAGGGACATTCACGAGGTAACGAGCAGCCAGGACCTTGTTCGACTGCCAAAAACCCCGCGCCCGAATATCAGACCAGGACATGTTCCCAAAGACGGCAGCAAGAGCCGCGAACTTACAGACGTCATGGGCACGGGGATAGACCACAGGGTGGCGGGATTTGATAACCCTGTGGATGACCTGGGAGACCCGAACCCGAGAACAGGAAAGAAGTGAAACCGGATCAACCCAAAGCGCGTCCCTGGACACAGAAGCCGTGGCGCACAAATAAGGCGACACAAAGCATAATGTACGGACCCCTCCGGAACGCAGCAGTCACATTCTTCGCCAGAAAAGAAGGAGACGGCTGCAGGCGAACAAAACAATCGCCACGACAGAAAGAGCAGAAACTCCTGTGCCGGAGGAGAGCATGAAGCTCCCCGACCCAACCCCCAGAGGCTAATGCCAACAGGAAAAGAGCCTTGGAGAAACAATCCTGGACCAAAGGGGCGACGACGAAACGAGGAGACGAGAGGTAAGCAAGCACTCTGTCCAAAGACAAGGACGGCTCAGGCGGCGCATGAGCAGGCTGGAGGTGAAACAAAGCATGAAACGGCTTGCAAAACAGCGCAGACGTAACATCGCTACGAAAGGCAACCTGAAGCGGCTCCGCCAGCGCTGCACGATACAAGGCGACAGTCTTAGGCATAAGATGACGGTCCTGAAACAACCAAGAGAGAAAGGACAAGACCACCCTAACCGACAGCGAACTAAAACGACGAAGACGCAAAAAGAAACAGAAGGACCGCCAGGAAACTTCATACTGCTGCCGAGAAGAAGCCCGCAGGTGGGACACCAACAAAAAAGCCACCTGATCACCATAGAGATGATGATAGACTTGAGTCAAAAAACCATACGCGAAGAATCGAGGAGAAGATCGAACCAGCCACATGACGTACCGGACCGATCTGCTGAAAGAGGCAGAGCCTCAGGAAAACCCTCGGGTTCGGACACCGAGCAAGCGGCCCCTGAAACCAAGGCTGGGCCGGCCACGAAGGGGCCAGAAGGACAACCCTCCCCGGTAAGTCTC